GTTTGCCGCTGCCAGAGTGCGGTGGCGGCTGCACGGAGGTCCTCTGGCCCGTATTTCACGTGCAGCATCGGGGATGGATTGTTTTAGCTTTGCTTATGTGTTTGGTTGAAGGCGTAGATATGAGTGGAACCCTCCAGATTTTATGAATGAGATGGTTTAATTTGAGCGAAGTGCGTTGTAGGATATTGAACTATTTCAGAGGTGTCTTGTAGGTCCTAAAACTATAAAAATCAGCATCTAGGTCCTCAAAGTGCAGTAAGTATGTCTTTTAGTTTCAAAATCTGCCTGACTGGCTAGCTGGAGCCGTTAAACCGTGACACGTCGGACAGGGGGCCTGCAAGGTAACGGCCGGTGATGGAAATATGCAAATAAATTTAAAGTCATCAACTATTGTCAAGTTCACAAACTTTTAAAAAAATCATGAACTCAAAAACTCCTATAGCGCACTATTGTACCGCTCAAGAAAAATCGGTGGCTTTTCAGTATTTTTTTGTCGGCCATTTTTTTCACGAACACAAAAAAATAATGAATTTCAAAAAAGTTTGCACACAATTAATAAATGTTCACGAATTTAAAAAAATGTTAGTGCTTTTAAAAAGTTTGTAAATTAAAAAATGTTCACAAATTTGAAAAATGTTCATTATTTGAAAATATACTTACGAATTTACCAAATTTTCATTAACCTAAATGTTCATGGTTTCATAAAATGTTCACGACTTTAAAAAAATTCATAAACATTTTTATAAATTCGTGAAAGTATATGATTGTTCGCGAACATTTTCCATATTTGCGAACAGGGCGAACATATTTTTTAAAGTTGTGAACATTTTTTTGCATATTCATGGAAATTATTTCAAAGTCGTGAGAGTATATGATGTTCGCGAATTTTGTTTCCATATTCGCGAACGACGCGAACATTTATTAAATGGCGTGAATTTTTTTCCATATTTGCAAACATTTTTTATAATCATGTAAGTATAAGAATGTTCGTGAACATTCTTTCCATATTCGCGAACAACATGAACATTTTCTTAAAGTCGTGAACACGTTTTCCATATTCGCAAACATTATTTTGAAGTCATGATAATATATGAATGTTTGTGACCATTTTTTCCATATTCGCGAACGACGTGAACATTTTTTCCATATTCGTGAACATTTTTTGGAAGTCGTGAAAGTGTGTAAATTCAAAGAATTTTTTCATATTCACAAACGGCAAAAACATTTTTTAAAAGTTCATGAATTTGAATATATTTGCATAGTTCTGACACCGATGTTACCTTGCGGGGCCCTGGTCCGACATGTCACGTGTCAACGACGCCAGCTGGCCGGTCAGGAGGGGTCAGCCTGATTTTAGACCTGAATGATACACTTACTGCACTTCGGGGACTTGGATTCTATTTTCATAGTTTGAGGACCTACATAACACCCCTGAAATAGTCCAAGGACCTATAATGCACTTCACTCGTTTAATTTTGATGCTTGGTTAAGATGAGTGGGATGAACCCATTTTCTTTTTGGTTGAATAGATAAAGGTGGTTTGGATGTGGTCCTCGCATAAAATAATCAAAGACATAAAGAGATTATCACATATAAAACAATTATGTGAGTAGTCAAAAAGGGATCGAATCGCACGATTCGATCGATTTTCTGGGATGGAATGATTCAGTGGATGGAACCATTCATGTGCTTTTTAACCAAACAACTTCTTTTTTGGTACGGTCCCAACCCATCCTGGACGACCCCTTCAACCAAATGCATGCTCTGATTGGGATGATAAAGTGGCGGTGTTGGAGAAAAGGGATTCTCCCGTGCACGGGAGGTCCCGTGCATGTAGGAGCCCTTGATTTGTTGGAGATTCATGACCATGCAGTTATGTATTGGCTATAGTTATATATTGAAATGCAACTGGTATACATAATGTGAGACCGAGTTATGAAATTTCCAGACATCATCCCTTTCAATTTCCAGACCAGATTCAGTACCACATCCATAACAATTAATGTGATACTGAAATATGAAATTGGAATGCAACTAGTATATATAATGTGACACTGAAATATGAAATATGAAATTTCCACACCACGTCCATTTTATTTGCATATCAGTTTCGGTACCGCATCCATTTTAATAAATGTGAGAATGAAATATGAAATTGAAATGCAACAATATATAATAGTGGGAGAGTGAAATATGAAATTGAAATTGCAATTTCCAGACCGCATCCATTTTAGTTTCCAGACGAGTTTCAGTACCGCGTCCATTTCAATTAATGTTTCCAGACATATTTCACTCTTTTAAAATAATTTTTTATGCATTTTTCTAGTGAAATAAGTTTGTTTCACATATGAAATATAAAACGTTCAAATTTAAACGTGTTTGAAATGTATCAAAGATTGGGCTTCTTTTAAAGATTTTGGCGCCAGGAGTTCAAATATATAAAAAAAATTCAAAAACAAATACTTGATTCAAAAGTTATGAGCCATTTAGCATTTCGCATGAAAAATAAAATGCAAGTTTTTAGTGGGAGAGAGATAGAACAAACAGCCATGCATGCAACATACTCTCTCGGTTTCAAAATATAAGTCTTTCTAGATATTCCAATAGATGACTACATAAGGAGCAAAATGAGTGAATCTACACTCTAAAATATATCTACATACATCCGTATGTTGTAATTCATTTAAAATGTCTAAAAAAACTTATATTTCGGAAGGAGGGAGTACTATCTATCCACTCTCTTACCTTTATGTAAAAGGCTGACACAAGTCGCATGCAAGGACAACTGCTACAGGACAATCTGACATATCACACGCTTTGTATTGTACTGTATTGACATTTTCCAGTGTAGTATTCAATAAACAATGCAAAAAAAAAAACGTCATTAGCGCTCGGATCATGATGCATCAACGAGTGGCCGATGCAGGCACGGGAGGATAGATTTTTTGCTTTGGGCAGTGTTGTCCCTATGTAGGATAATGTCCTTTTCGTCCTATCCCCACTTCATCAGTGTGCTTAGTGTCGACGGTGTGCGTGTGAAGATTTGGCTTCGATTGATCATATTAGATTTGGTTGATTTTGATCTTTGATAGATCTATCTAGATTTGGACGGCGCTCATGGTCTTTTGTGTATTTGCGGGCCCTTTTCCAGCATTTTCTTTTGCATGGTCGTCATCAACTTGTGGTCTACATCAACAAATTAAGTCCCGAGCACTATTTTTACAAGCTCTTGTGTTTAAACAAGTTTGCTTTGTCAAGACATAGACTCAAAGGCGGCAACGAGCTTTGTTCACAGCGCGTAGCCGATGGATGGAGAAGGAAGAAGGCTTCAACATTCTAAGGATTTCAATGTATTTTTTCCATAGGAATGTATTTGTAAGGAGATGTAATACTTAATACATGTTCTTAGACTTTTCGGAAGAAAAAAACTAGTACATAGTCTATATATTTTTTAACGATTCGTACATAGTATTTCATATGGTATCACAAGCAAACATATATTTCTATGTCAGTTAGGACTTTGATTGAACCGACTGGTGCATGCAGTGCATTATATAAAGTATCTTCCATTAAGATGCACCCAATAAACAGTAAAATCAAAAAAATAGAAAGAAAAAAAATCCATGTTTTTTTGTGTGAGATGCCTGTGTGCATGAACTTCATGCAAAATTTTGTAAAGTTTGAACATCCGAGGAGCTCGTGGCAAAAAAAATCACGCGTGAACAGTTTGATTTTCAAAAGTTTCCCAGACACCCGAATTTTGTCTTCTTTTCCACGAGCTCCTCGAATATCCAAACTTCATCAAATTCTTGTATGGAGATCATGCAATTGAGCATCTCGCTTATTTTTTTTAAAATGTACTAGTTTTAGTGATTTTACTATTCATGCCTAGACTCATCTGAGCCCGGGAGCCGAATCACCGCATCTCAAGTAAGCCACCTAGTTTTTCCAGGCCCAAGATCACAAAACGCTTCTTTTAGAGCATGTGGTCTTGAGGTAAAAGAAGAATGTGTGCAGCAATATGAGCGTTCTGTGACAAGCTCTATTCTCCTTAATTAATGGATAAGACAAAGCTTGTGCTTTCATTCAACAAGAAAGAAAGAATGCGTGCTCTTCATAGCATTGTCATTTACAGATCAGAAAAAAAAAGACCATTGATATCGGCAACGATTCCCCAGAGAATACATACTGATGTCAAAAATGGCATCCTGTCCCGCTGACGACTGCTTCACCTTCTCTAATTTCTGAACCAGAAACCGAGAAGCAGGGTGTTGTTACTGATCCAAGGCTCAGGCTTATATTACATGAACAATATGCGCGGTTGGATACTTTGTTTCGCTACCCAGCGACCTATAGATTAGTCCTGCTCCAGCAAAAAAAAAAAGATAATATTGTATACTGAGGCCTGTTTGGTTTATAAGTCTTAGGACTTTTTTTAATCCCAACTTATAAATCTAAGTATCTAAAAAGTCCCTATCTATTTGGTTTCTAAGACTTAATATAATTAAAAGACCATATTACAACTATACGTTCTTATAAGTCCTTCCTTGAGAGTCTTATTTCATAAGTCTCAAATGCCCACTTTAAGTCTCTATAAGTCCCTTCTGTTTGGTTTAGATAAGACTTACGGAGACTTTTCCCCGCAAAAAAAAAGAGAGACTTATAGAGACTTTTTTAAGTCCCTAAGTCAATAAGTCCCCGAAAATAAACACCCTCTGAGTCTTTCAACCAATTCTGCAAGGTCCACACAATGTTTGTTGGTTTATTTCTGTTACATATCCGTAGACGTATACACAGATGGATCGATCTCCGTGCCTCACATTATACCCTCATCACCACAAAAATTGCTCCAAGGATATATCCATGCTTTCCACGGCAGTATGTGCACTCACGCCGACCAGCTGCATGCTTCCATTCTGCTCTTAAGCTCGTCTTGTCAAAGAGACTGAAAAGAATTATGTACAGCTAGGTATGCGCGAGAGCACGAGCGGGGTGTCGCTCTACGGCTCGGCTTTGCCTTTGGAGACGGACGGATCGGTCTCCGTGACCGAGGAATCGGAGTCGGCGTTGGGCGACTTGGAGACGGAGAGCACGAGCTCCTTCATGTCGGAGCTGGAGGAGCGGAAGTGCGCGAGGATCTTGCTGAACTTGGGCTTCCTCCGGGTGATGGCGATGGAGACGTCGTTGGGGAAGAGGTCCCTGAGCACGAAGGCGTGGAACATGGTGGTCACCAGCAGGCCGGCGACCGTGACGGTGGCAATGCCCGAGAGGCCGATGGACAGCGTCCGCGTAAGCACGTTGGTCACCTCCGTCGCGTACGTTATGGTCGCGATCGACGCGCCGGTCATCGGGAACGTGTACGCCCACCACGCCAGCGAGAACCGGAACCCTCTGAAGAAGTTGATCCGCACCGCCTGCTCATCACAGACACAAATCAGAATCGCTACAGATACCATATACTAAATACAGAGGAACGACGCCATGAGGTTTATTACGTGGGCACATGTGGGAACAAGTGGAGTCTGTTGGTTACGTACCAGTGACATGTAGAGGAAGAGCGCAATGAAATAGGCAATCCGGGCGCCGTTGTCGAACTCGCCGTTGATCTTGGCCCAGGCCATGGAGGCGACGCTGGGGGCGGCGACGAAGAGGAAGAAGACCGGGTGGAGCTCCTTGGGGAGCGTGACGTTGGTGGGGAGCCGCTGGTAGAGCGTGACGAACAGGACAATGTAGTGCGCGAGCCCGACGGCGAAGAAGAAGATGGGGCCCTCGCGGATGCCCATTTTGGCCCCCAGCAGCGCGCCGACAAAGTTGCCGACGATGGAGAGGTGGTTGGACGGGTTGGCCACCTTGGAGAGCCGGCGCTGGCCCCCGGACATCCACTGGCCGTAGATCTTGAGCTCCAGGCAGAAGATGGGCGCCATGAGCATGTACCAGACGCCGTGGTGCACCTGGGCCAGCTCCCGCGGGGCGCCCTGCACCAGGAAGAGGCAGGCGATCCATGGCGCGAAGAAGAAGTTGGCGCGTATAGGGTGGTGGAACTCGCGCCGGACCGCCTCGAAGTAGAAGACGATCTTGAGCAGGTAGATGCAGGACACCAGGCCCATCAGCGCCAGCGAGATGTACCACAGCGCGTGGGCCACCGCGAGGCTCACGTGCAGGAACACCGTCGGCGGCGCCGTCGCCAGCGTCTTCCACAGGATCGCCTGGCTGCTCACGCCCAGGACCATCCCGAAGGCGCTGATCGGGAACCGCAGCAGGAACGGCCACTGCTCGTCGTTCGGCAGCACCGCCACCTCCGTGGCCTGAAGAAAAAGAAAGACCCAACCGTTAGCCTTAGGTGAAGGTCGACTAGTCACTGACAGTTCATGGTCATGTCAGACCGTTGCTAACTACTTACCCTGAGGGTGTCGAGCTCGGGGCCTTCCAGGGCGTCGAAGTAGCGGTCGGTGCCCGGAACCTGGTCGGTCTCCTCGGAGATCTTGGAATGGTGGGAGCCGAGGTCCATGGGGTCCAGCGGCCGGCCGCGCAGGTTGGAGAGCTGCCGCTCAAGCCGGCCGGAGAAGGTCTTGAACGGATCGAACCTCTTGTCGCGCGTGCCTTCGGCCCTGCGCGCCCCGTCGTTGATCTGGGACGCATGGAGGATCGGCTGCGAGTGGAACCGCGTCTGCTGCAGCAGCCGCGGTGACTGCACCTCCACCTGCTTGGTGTCGGAGGGCGCCGCCGCCGCGTGCGCCTCGTTGCGGCGCACGGACGCCGCCCTGAACTGCGAGAAGTGGAGCCCCGACGGCGACGCCGGCATGCTGAGGGAAAGGGAGTAGGGTATCTGCGTGTCGTCGTACGCGCGCACAGGGGCAACTAGTGGTGGGGTCGCCGGCGCCTGGATGCTAATGACAGTGTCCTTGCTGTTCTGCTCGTTCAGGGCGGCGGGGGTGACGGCGTCCCGGCCGACGCAGTCGAAGCCGGCGATAGTCCGCGACGGAACCTGGATGAGCAGCGACGGGAGGTCTTCTCTGGACGACTGCTCGCTCAGCTGGCTGGCCATTTGGATTTGGACGTCTTTGTTGCCCAACTCCATACCGATCGAGAAACCTGCAGAATCATACACACACAGTAGCACTCCAGTTAGCAAAACATGCAGCGCTGCTGGAACATAGGAGTAATAGTGAAGCAGAAAGACATAATCAAGTATCGCAATACCAGATACACCAATTCGGCCGGAGCACGGCTGGGCATTCCCGTATGGCCACGCTTGCCATATCGATCCTAAATCCTAGTGCTAGTATGTTCTTACCTGGACTGGGCTAGTACTATGTGTTGGTGCGAGTCGTGAACGGTTCTGGTCTCCCTAATCAACAGGATAAGCGGATCGTTTGATATTTCCGTGCGCCCTCGAAGTGTTGCAGCTCGGCTCGGTGCGAGAGGTGCTGGATTTATAGAGCTAGCTTAGCTTGGCCCGGGTGGGAAAGCTCCAAAGCTAGCGACTCCCTTTCTGCACGCGCGCGGGAGCTGGAGCTGGTGGTGCCTGCCAGTGGAGCGGCAGAGCACGCCGCCGGCCGGCGACCGCGACGGCTCGGCGCTGGCCGCGGTTGCCATACATCGCGAAGGTTCGGTACGGTGTACCGCCAACGCCCGTCGCCGTCAGCCGAGGAGAAACTTGCCTGTTTCTCCTTGTCAAACTTTGACACTGCCTCCTCCTCCGCAATCCATGCGGCCCGATCGAGAAGATCTTTGCGATCTTGTTCTATGGTAGTACTACAGCACGACGGCATGCATCAAGACAGTGGAATGCGTACCTTTTTGCTTGCCGGCGACAGCGAGAGGAAGGTACGCATGTGTACTACGTATGAATATGATACGCACCAGAGTCCAAGCCAGGAGTGCTGCTTCAAAAAGGTGGCCCTTAGAATCCGGAGAAGTGGTCTGGCCTGGCCATGAGACCCGTGTGGAAACTGAACGTTTACTCATGGCCAGCTACGGTCGGACCGTCCAGTCGGACACGATGCAACATGTATCACATGGATACGATAAGGTTTTTGACTTGCGACGAGAATAATTCATGTTTGCGATCTAGAGCTAGCAGACAGTTAAGTAGAGGGACGCGTCTAGCGGGTGGCTCGCTGCCCACTAGCACTCCGTGGTGGCCGGCTGAAAAAGGTAAGTTTTTGTCTTTCTGACTCATATTAGAAAAAGTAAATAGGTGTGGACATATGTGAAAATGATAAATAATTATAAATTATCCATATGAACAGATATGAACGTATTTAATTTGTGTTTTCAGTTTTTTTAAAAATCATAACTTTTAAACCGCGCGTCGAAATTAAGATCCGTTTTCATTTTTGGAACCCTCGTGGCGTGCTCTTCGAAACTAGATCCCTCATGATTATGTTTTGACGAAAAAAAATTGTGCAATTTTCTTTCTGTTTTGTGCAACTGCCTAGTCGTCGGTGTGCAACTACCTGACAGGGATGTGCAACTTTTCTCCTATATTGTAAACATGCGGATTTCAATGATGGTGCAAAACTAACTCCTTCCAATGAGATGTGCAACTTCGTCTGTTACCCAGGCCAACTGCATAGTAGTTGATCTGCAACTTTTTCCTGTTCGTGGATGTGCTTCACTATTTGCTGCATCGGCCAACAACCTAACAATGGATGTGCAACTTCGTATACTACCACAGCCAACTGTCTAACTGTGATTTGCAACTTTCTCTTGTACCCCATGGATGTGTAGTTTTTCTGCTAGCACACGGCCCAAACCACCCCCTAGTGAGTTTTGCAACTTTAGCACTCTGTTTATATGCAACTTTTTATCATTCAACCGATGTGCAACTTTGTATATTGTCTGTGGCCAACTACCTAGCAGACTATGTGCAACTCTGTTTGTTGGTCCCGCCAATTAAAAATACATGTCCACAAATAGAGAGCGTAGGGAGTTGCACATTGACTAATAAGCAGTTGGCTTGAACAATAGACTAAGTTGCACATATCCCTTGCAGGGGAGGTGGGAGTAGGGTGTGCCAACAGTGAAAAACTATGCATCCACGAGTAGGGAGGAAGGTTGCACAACGACTACTAGGTAGTTGGTCGGAACAGTAGACTAGTTGCACCATATAGCACGAAAGTTGGCATCGAACAAATTTCGTTGAAACATACCCATGTGGGATCTAGTTTTAAAGATCTCATCACGAGAAATCCAACAGTGAAGATATATCTAAATTCCGACACATGGTTTGAAAGATAAGACTTTTTAAAAATTTTAAAAACCTGAAATAAATAGATATGGATCTGTTTTTCGTCATATGTGATAAGTCTGACCGCATTTAATGCTAGTAGTCAAATGCACTAGTAGACAATACATGTATGTATGCATGCGAATGACAGAACGGCCGTTCGTTCTCTCAACGAGCGCGCGTGCACTTTTAAGATTTTAGGTAAGTAGAGAGGCACGCTAGTCGGCAGTCACAGTCGGTCGACTATAGTAAACCGGTGCTTCCGTGCATTACCGGATCGGGCGTACCCTCCCTAGATGTCACCGGGAATCCCTTCCCAGCTGACTGGCAACACCTTGCTAGCTGCATCTATACTTGCCTGCATGAGAGGCAGCCTAGGCTAGCGATTCATAGCGTTAGCGTACACGTACTCTTTCTTGGCCGCATAGCATGAGCGCCATGCAACACCGAGCAAGCGAAACCGACAGAGTGACACGGCTAAAGGTACGCGAAAAAACCTCATCACTTTCTCCAGAAACCACGAACTCCAGCTAAAAGAACCAGCAAACAGATGGCAGCAAAGTAGCATGGGCACCACCATGGATTGCTGGATGCATCCATGTCCATGCATGCATGCAATTGCTAGTTCACCATCGTTTATGGATTTACCTGTTGGTCTTGAGAATTTGTTCAGGGATGAGACGTGCTGTGAAAACCCCAGCAAAAGCCAAAAAAGGAGATGTGTTTTGTGAAGGGTGAGACTAGTGGCGATAGGAGTAGATAGCAACCAAATAATGGAGGGTCGATGGAGGTGTGGTGGCTACAAGGGGCGCACTGGCTGTATATATAGAGGTAGGCCTAGGTAGATGGTGAGTGTATTGTATAGTCGAAAGCGGGACATGAATTGGTGGAAGGAAAAAAAAAAGGTGCTCGTACTACCTATTGTTGGAAGACAGAGTGGAAGCAGAAAGGTGGTGAGTCAAAGGCGCTCAAAGCGCGCGGTTGCCCGGTAGCCGTGTCTGCCTGCTCCTCGGGCCTAGATCCAGGCCCTCCCCTTTACCAGGAAAATTGTCGTTTTATTTATACCCTCGTTTGATAACTCAGTATTTTCTATGTATATTAACAATACTATAGTTTTTGAGAATACCATGGTTTTAATTATTAGAAAACTGCAATAATTTAACTTGTAGGTACAAGATACCACGGTTTTAACATTACAAAGAATTTTGAAGTATTGGGAAAACTACGGATCTGTTTGGTTAAAGCTTGCAAACACGCTCATTGCTAGCTAGCTAGACCTTGCGAGCTGATGAACGACCATGCACAAACTAGTACAACCATGCACTAGCTGAACAACCAATCTGAATGCACTATACATTAGCTCAATGTTACACTGATAAAATGGAGTAGGTCGTCGAAGTACATGCCAACACGTGCAATAAGGACCTGACCAGTCCATCACAACCTGGCAACTCTAGCGTACATAGCAAAACGAAATAAAATCCCAACACACATTCACTAGATGAGGATCTGGTAATGTAGGAGATTAGGAGGAGATGACTTCAAATCGGCGGAGGCTGGTTGGGAGCGAGTCACGCTCGTTCTTTTCGTGTTCTCAGTTTTAAAAAAAGAGGTTGGAGGTTCTTTTCTATTTACAGAGAAAATACCAAGGTTTTGGGCAAACTGTAGTATTAATATTGCAGTTTTTTGTGGCTGTCAAACAGCTCGCTGTAATTAAAACCATGGTATTCTCAAAAACTGTAGTATTGTTAAAATACATAGAAAATACTGAGTTATCAAACGGGGCCGCCTTAATCTGACCATTTTGCCTGCAAAACTTTCCACTTGTATGTGCTCATATGTTAAGATATCGATATTCTATTCATAGAAGGCAAGCTCTAAGCTTAGAGGTGACTAAGCATTTTTTTCTTCTTCTATCTTTGGTGGCAGTTTTGCACAACGTACGGAGGCGGCATCTATACCTTAGAGGCAGTCTTAATTAGGGCGTCTCTAACAGATACCTGATACCCGGAAAAAAATTATATGAGACCAGGTCTCATATAAATCAGATGAGACCCGCCTTGATGGATGACATGTGTCATTCACGAATCACAAAGCATCTAATCTCTCCCCACCTAATTTCAGGTGGGGGTGGGATAGATGCTTTGTGATTTGTGAATGCCACATGTCATCCATCAGGATGGGTCTCACCTGCTAACCCGTGAGACCTGGTCTCATAAATTTTTTTCCCCTGATACCCTATCCCAAAACTCCAAATTCTTCTCCCTATCCCATTTCCATAATTTTCTAGTCAAATTACCGTCACTCAGCTAGCAGGTCCTCTAAAATTTTATTTGTACTAGACAATTGCCCGTGCGTTGTAACGGGAGTATAAACATTGTATTTGATTAGCCCGTGACTGCACGTCTATCATTATATTGATGCGTTAATATCTTAGCAAGTTTTTGTACGCGACCGCCATGATTTACCTGTCATTTTATTGTTAAGCACTTATTTGATAAGAATTTAATGACTTGCCAAAAAAGTATGTTTTTATTTGGGTAAGTTGATAAAACATGAGACAATTGATTCCATTTTAGAAAGAATGGATGGGAGGAATAATTAGAGATGGGAGGTAAAAATCAAAGAGGAAAAGAAAAGAGTGAGACGTATATAAGGGAAGGTTGGACGAAAGAGAGGTGAAATGGAAACTTGCGTTCTTTTTAAGTAGTACTCCCTCCGTTCGGAATTACTTGTCGCAGAAATAGATGTATCTAGATGTATTTTAGTTTTAGATACATCTATATTCAAGACAAGTAATTCCGAACGGAAGGAGTATATATATAGAGAGATAAGCACTTATTTGATGAGAATTTAATGACTTATCAAATAAGTTATGTTTTCATTTTGGTAAGTTAATAAAACATGAAACAGTTTATAGGGAAAACTATTTATATTTACAATATCAAACATATAAAATATGAAATCACGTCTTCTGATGAATCTAATGAATATGTTTGACATTCTAGACATAAATGTTTTGTCCGTAAAGTTGATCAAATTTTATGAGGTTTGACTTTCAGAAAATCTACACACAACATTATCATGGAACGGAGGGGCAGTGTAAGTAAAACTAGTACTATTCCCTAGCTAATTATATACTCCGTGTACAGTATTACGCACAAGCCGATACAGACCGTGAGCGCTAGTTGCGGACAGCTAATTACACAGTAGTCTAGTGGGTGAAGAGTACATGCATGCCGTACGGTAGCACTTAACTACTACTAGCCTCGACGATGTTGATGGAGCAAGCGGACAAGAGAGAGGACGGCGGCGCAGGTAGTAAGTAGATGGAACAAATCCTCCGGATCGCAGCAGGCAGGCAGCAGAGGCCAAGATGAGCGCGTAAGCGACAAGGAAAGCACCCGATCCTTTCACCGTGGGTCGTTCACGTCCCCGTCCATCGTTCACATCCCGTAACCCCATAAAAAAAGCGGCGGCCGGCATCACCATGAAATTACTCGGGCAGGTCGTACCGTGGTACCACTACGTACCTGGCTAAGTAGTGCCGGGCCGCTACTCTCCAAAGCTCCCTGCCGTGCAACTTGTTTGACTGCTGCGCCTGCGCCTGCGGTGCCGACGGCGGCGGCGATCTTCCGAGCCCAACGCGTGCGGAATGCTATCGCGTCCGATGAAGCCGCGAGATGCGAAAGCAGCGACGACGATAAGGTTTTGATGTGACCGAGGAACAATGTGC